AAACAATATTAATACCTTCGTCAATAAATGGTGAATTGCAATTTTATGTTGTCATTGACTACGAGGAAAATATAGAAGAAATAAATGGCGAAGCAAACAACTGGAAAGAAGACAATCACACATACAAATTTACTGGTATTCCTAGAGCAAATCTTATAGCCACTATAATTTCAACAAAGATTTGTTCAATGGAGGATGACAATTATGTCTGCATGTCGTACAACGTTTCTAATATTGGTGGACAATCTACCGAAAAATCCTCATGGTATGACGCTATTTTTGTTTCTATTAACCCAAACTCTACTACTGAAAGCTTGCGAAACCTTCACAATATAGCTTTACTTACACACATTGGAGAACTACCCCCATCCGAGGTCTATACCGTAAATACTACAGTAACAGTCCCTCAGGAGTTTGAAGGAAATGAAACATTCTTCTATGTGTACCCGGATTATGAAATTCAAACTTTATCAGAAAACCAAACCTTTGAGATTGATAACGCCATATCCTCGTTAGAACATGTATTTTATGTTCCTCCAAGAAAGCCATGTGTAAATTTGAACGCACAAATTTTGTCCAGAATTAATCCCCAAAACGGAGGTGAGCCAATGAAATTACGTTTAAATATAACAAACAATGGTACTTGTGACATAAATAAAAGATTTTTCGTCGCCATTTATCTAAGTAAAGATGTCAACTATGATATGTTTGAAAGGAAAATTAAAACACTCAGAGTAGATGAACCTATTTTGGCAAACGGCACAATATCTACTGAGGCAAAGATAGATCTTCCTTTTATACATGAAACGCAGGATTATTCCTTGGTAATTCAAGTGGATTCTCGAACCGAAATTATTGAAATAAATGAAGATGACAATATTGCTATAACATTTCTTATCATACAAAAAAATCTCAGGACCGATATTGCTGTATCAAATGTAACTGCACCAGTGGAAGTAGACTATGGAAAGAATATCACTTTAAGTTGGTCAGTTTATAATGATGGCGCTGAAACTGCACGAGGATACAAATGTGACAATGTGTATTTTTCCCAGGACCTACAATGGGATATAAGTGATTATCAGTTCGGTGAAACACAATGTAAATCGTTTGCTATAAAATCAAAGAAAAATGTTTCTCATGGGATAATTAATACATACACAGCTCAACTTCCTCCTCTGGCTGCAAGATCATACAGAACAATCGTTAAAGTAAGAACAAATTTAGAAGACTATAATCCGAAAAACAACATTGCAGTTTCCATAAACAGTACGAATATAACATTTCCTCTATGTGCTCTAGGGGAGAATCTAACATTTAATATTGCCCCTGGCGAATCAATGGTTATACGCATACCAGACGTACCTGCAGATCGTTCCCTTCTTGTCAAAACTAGAAGCCAGATGAGTGTCATATTTCACGAAGTTTTTATAAAACTTGGATCTGCGCCAAGTGACTATAATTTTGACAGCACAGTCCTTGACCCGTATCTAACCAGTCAAGAAATATCGATTCAGAATACACGAGAAGGAGATTACTACATTTTAGTGAAATCACACGAATCTGATCTCCAAAATGCATCCACTTCGATTACGTTAGAAGCTAAAATTGCAAAATTTGAAATTTTAAACTTTTATCCAAAATATGTAGCATTGCTAGGGAACGTGACCCTAAAAATATATGGCACCCTTCTCCCAGAGGACTTTACGGCTTTTCTTTACAACGAAACTTTCCAACTTCAGTGTCAAAAACAATACTGGTTTTCGTCCTCTATGGTGGCGGCCACATTTGACTCAAGAACTTTACAAATCAACTCAAGCTACAGATTGAATTTAACTGACGGTGAATCAAAACAGACAGTCTCACTACCGATTGCTTTGACTGTTGTTAAAGGAATAGCTGGAAAGGTTGTAACTAAAATATCAGTGCCTGGTCCACTACAAGTTGATGAGATAGGAGAAATAAAGATAGATTATGAAAATGTAGGTCAAACTGATGCTACTTCTCAGATATTTCGAATACGAGCAGAAGGAAATGGCCAGCTAATGTTAGTAAACAACAAACAAAGCAACCGCTGGACTAATAGTATTACAGTAATTGGGGGATCATCAGACGGGCCTGGAGGAATACTTTCACCTTCAGAGACCGGTCGGTTATCCATTAAAGTAAAGTCTGAGAGTACAGGAGTCCAAATTACCCTTGCAAAGATTCTTGAAACAGATGGATCAACACATTCGTACCTGAATATGAAAAACACTTTAAGACCTAAATATTATGATAGAAGTGATTGGGATCGGGTGTGGGAAAATTTTATTCAACTTGTGGGAAAATCATGGTTTTCACTGCAAAACAAGGTGTCCGAAATCAGAAATGAAATGTCTTTGGTAGAGCAGCAGCAACTTTCATTCAATGAAATCATGCAGCAAATTATCGATATTGCAGATGGTGTCGGCGAAAAGCATTACATGGCTGAATTTTCCGACTTTGCAAATTTTGGATCAGTAGGGAAAACTTTATTAGATACCGTTCGTGCCTACCCTCGTAAAATAGGTTTAAGAGGTGTCGATGGTGCTTTTGGAATAGGATGGATAGCCCCAATTTGGTGAGTCAAAAAGTTTTTTGAATCAAAACTTTCTTTTGGGTATTTTTTTTTCCTCTGAGTAATATTAATTTATTTTCAATGCAGGGAATGCTATCTGGAAGGTATGGATGAGGTGGTGGCACTTTTGAACTGGAAAAGAGAAGAAATTGTATTTACGGCATATACATATGGGATATATTCCAATGAAGATATAGGAAATCTTACCATGATTAGTGAAGGTTTACTTAAGTTTCATAAAGATTGAATTTCTATATTGATTTCGTTTGAAATATCAACGCATTTTGGTTTACAATACTGCCTATTTATACAATCTAAGATTATTTTAGTTTTCGATCAAACAATTTCTATAAAAAGTATCGAAATAGATGAATTAATATGTCAAATTGTAAAGAAAGTGTGTTATGAAATTAAAATATTGTCCTTTTATTAATTAACCATATTAAAATAAATTCCATTTTCATCGAAACAGTCATGTTTTCTTTACTAGATTTGGTTTCTTTTTTGGATCCAAAAACTAAAGATGTGTATCGTTTTAATGTCACAACTGGAAACGTTTCTTCTATAGTGAGGCAAAATGTTAAGATAAATCTTTTCTATGACAACCTACGGACTTTAACAAGAATCACATATGGTGGAAATACGTTGGATTTTACTTATAATGAGAATTCAAAAATTGAAGCAATAAATAGGAGGGAACAATCAGGAAATTTTGGAACTTGGTAAGTATTTTAAACCATACTTTCAAATTAATTTCTCTTTACAACATTACTAGTACATGTTTATTTATACAATAATTTTACATTTCTTTTTCAGTTTGTACTCCTACACAGAGAAAAACTTCCTTTCTACTGTAAAATGTGGGAGACATGTTACATCCTATCTATACAACGAAAAAGGTCATTTAATAAGAATCACTGAAAGTTCTGGGTTATTTTACGCAATACGATATTCGAGTGACGGCCGTTTGAATTCAGTGGACAAGTATGTAAATGAACGGCTCATTTCTCGTACAGTATACAATGATTACTTGAATGGAAGAATTGATGCTTGGACCATGCCACAAAATAGTACAGAATCGTACTGGATAACAACTCAAGGTCATATAGCTGGCTTAAAAAAGAACTTCTTTCCTATTCGTAAATTTCAACGTCATAAAGATACAGATGAAATCATTGAAGGGGATTTGGTAAGAACTTTAATCCATGTCTTCATTTTATCTTCGATTTACAATATACAATATACAATGTATAGTGCAAAACTCAACATAGATATACAATATATAGATGTGCATCATTCTAGTCAGTTGGTAACGATATTTCATAATAATGTTTAATGGGAATTTTTATCAGCGCTGTTACAAATTCGGCTTCGTGATGGTGTTAAATGAATTTTTTGAATTTTTTGAAATGAATTTTGAATATATATATTTGTCTATGTTAGTCTTAGTTAGAGTTATTGTTTTTAATTTCATCACTGTATTGTATTGCTATATCTTGTTTGTTGTAAAGCACTCTTGAACATGTCTATGAAAAAAGTGCTATATAAATCTGGTAAAAATAAAAAAAAAATAATAAAAAAAATGATTAAGATACAAAATACCTCTAAAAGTGTACAATATTGAAACTGCAGTCTTATTCACATATTTTATTTTAGATTATTGAACGTAGAATTTCGTATGATAATATTCACGAAATACAAGATGGCAATGGAAATAGTGTTTTCTTTCAAGAGGATGAGAATGGAAATATTGTGAGCTACGCTGATGCTGATTTGAATGCATACTATATCGTACGATCCTTTAGAGGTTATGTATTCATGATGACGTATCCAGACAAATCCAATGAAACTTTCGTCTATGCTAACAAATCGTTAGTTCATAAGGATCAAAGTGGACGAAAAATGGCTTACCACTTCGATGAAACAGAGAAACTAGCATTTCGCTATACAGAGGATAGAGGTTTCCTTCATTTTCAATATAATGAAATTGGTCGGATAATATCCGTACAAAATCAAGATACATCTACCTCACTTTCTTATAATGAAAATGGACGCATCGCAGAATTAAGGTCTGAAGAAGACACAATTCATCAAACATACGATAATCAAAATCTTCTGAAAAGGTTAAGGATCTCTGGAGAGCCGTATGACATTGATTATTCGTATAATGATTATGGACAGATTATGTATGTAACAAACAGGGCAGATGATCAGATGCTAATAAGAATGACGTACGATACCAATGGGATGATTAAACAAAAGACTCTTGGTAACAATGCGAAAACGGTTTTCACATACTATGAAAGGAAAAAATTGCTTAGAACATTATCAAATTATTACCCAAATGGGACAATCTCTTCTAAATTCCAATATAGCTACGACCGGAAAGGAAGACTGTCTTCAATGACAACGACACAAGGAAATTGGTCATTTTCTTATGACTTAACTGGACAATTAGTGTTCATCAAGAATCCAATGAATTTAACGACAAGCATTGTGTACGATCAATGTAAAAATCGTGTCACTGTCTCGCAAAATGGAAAAACAGACAATTATCAACGAAATGAATTAAACCAGTACATTTCTATCGATGACTTAGATATTGAATATGATAGGAATGGCAACTTGATAAAGAAAGGAAATTTTTCCCTGGATTTTAACGAGGACAACCGGTTATCACGTTTTAATACAACATCTAACAACTGCACACTTCACTACAGCGGTTTTGGGCATATTAGAAGGAAAATATGCAGATACAATATGGAAATTTACTCTACAGATTCATTTGGTCGAATATTGAAACAGGTAGATGTATTGAAAAAATTGTTTTCGAAAACCTCGTAGCCTTTTCTCTTATATAGTCTATTTCCCCATCTTCTTGAAACGTGTTTCAAGTTTGAATAAAACAAAAAAAGCATTTTTTATAATATAATTAACACACATTGTCTTTTAATTTAAGGTTGAAATTTTTCTGAAAATTATTTCATTATAATTTTTTGGATAATTTTTTCATTTGAAATAATTTGTATTATTTCATTTTTTTTTTCAGAAACATTCTCAAAGAGGGTCAACTGAATATCATGTATACGAATCTAAAATAGGACTGCTTGCAACAAAGAGAGATGGAGAATATTATTACTACCAGTATGATGGTTTTGGGTATGTAATTGTTGAGGGCGGGACTATATAGATTACACAGTGAAAATTCATTATTTTTTGAAAATCTTCATTACACCTGAGCATTAAATAATTTAACCAAATACATAATTATGTTGAATAAGACTGTCTCTTCCAAAATTGTGAATTTCATGGTCCCAGGGTGAAGGGGATTAGTGCTTAGGGGGCTTTATAGATTATATAGTGAAAATGCATTATTTCTTTGAAATTTTCTTCTCTTCTCCTGGATATTAAACAAACTAACCAAGTACATAGTTATGATGAGCAAGAAAATCTCTTCCAAAATTGAGTATTACATGGCCCCCAGGTGAGGGGTTCTGGTGGTAGGACGGGGCTCTGATGATTATATAATGAAAATGCATGAATTCTTTAAATTAGAGAAGCCACTAATGCCTTTATGTATCATATTAATTCAAAAGCTCTCTTAGGAAGTATAGATTTAATTATGTTCCAACCCACCCTTTCCCCTGACATTTGCTTTGACCTAGCCAGTTATTCAAGTGAGCGATGTAGCCCCCAGACCTCTTGTTTTCCTTAATGTATTCATTGTGTTTATTGAATATTCCCCTTAGTGACCATT